GTGGGCTTCCCATCACCAAATCACCCATGTGCCACCACCACAGTCCAGTGTATTTCCCTCTCCCTACTGTTTTTGATCCCATTCCCCACTCCACCGTGTAAAATGTCTCTGGTCTATAGCTGTTCATATTATTGTTATTATTTTTCTCGCCTGGTCCATTATACTTATGCTATGAGTGAATCCATCCAGTATTTTCCCTTTTCTTTCTGGCTTATTTCACTAAGCATGATCTTTTCCAGCTCCATCCATGTTGCTGCAAAAGGCTTATGTTTTTTTTCCAATTGTAAATAAAGCAGCAATAAACATGGGGGTGCAAGTATTTTTTTGAATCAGTGTTTTTGTGTTGTTTGGGTAGATACCTAGGAGTGGGATTGCTGGGTCATAGGGAAGCTCCATGTTTAGCAGTTTGAGGAACCTTCAAACAGTTTTCCATAGTGGTTGTACTAGTTTGCATTCCCACCACAGTGCAGGAGAGTTCCTTTTTCTCCACATCCTCACCAACATTTATTGACCAATTAGTTAACTTTTAACATACCTATAACCTGTGAAACCATTTCAATCAAAAGTTCCCTTATGCCCTCTTAATTTTCCTCCTACCTTTATCCTCAAGGGATCAATGATCTGCCTTCTGTACATTATCATGTGTGTTCTAAAGGTTTACACAAAGGGAACTTGTTTGTCTATTTCCTTGCTCAAACATAATTATTTTCAAATTCACCCACACTGCTGGGTTTCTCAATAGTCTATTCCTTTTATATTCTGACTAGTATTTTGTTGCATGGATACAACAGTTTGTGTATCCATTAGTTTTGACTTTTACAAACAGCCTCTCTGTATGGACATGTTTTCTTAGATAAACACTCATGAGTAGAATGGTTAGATAATATGGTAGAGGTATATGCTTGACTGCTTAAAAAGCAGGTGTGTGTGTGGGGGGGGGGGACCCTGACAATCAACTCCTCCTTTTTTGAATTAATAAGCTTTATGAGGATACATAAAATTGAATTTGAGTTCTGTTGCTGATAAGAGGAGTACATTTTTATTATAAGTTTATTTTTTGCACATTTTGTGCCTTTTTCCATCTCAGCTGCGATCCATGGGCTTCCCATCACCGATTAGGTTGAGTATTTTTTAAAGGTCAATGGGGTCAAGTCTGTTGTTCAATGTATCTTTGCCTCCCCATCTTTACCAGAGATAAAGGCTCTTTCTGAGAAATGAGCTTTCCCAAACTTGCTAAGGCTGAATTACTGACAATAGCCAAAGATATGGACTACAAAGGAATCCTGCTATTCACTGTGCTCTCCCCATCATCCATCAGCTCTCCTCCCACAGTCCAGAGAAGGAATGCCAACTATCCTTCATTCAGGTTTTGAGTATTTTATGTCTGACACTATGCAGGTGTTGACTGGACCAAAGATTTCCAAAGAAATGACACACAGATACTATGCATTAGACATTGGAGTACCATTTGTCTAGCAGTGAAGTTTAGCAATCAATGTCAGAGGTATCAATCAGATCTGGACAGCTAACTTAGGGAATAAACACTGATATTGCTCTCAAGAAAAAGAGACCTTACAAACATGTATGTCAAATTTATGACTAACAACTGCCTAATCCACGACAAAATAGATAGCTAGCAAGAATACTAATCGAGTAATACTAATACTAAAATTTAGATGTAACAGAGTTTATATCTCTATGGGTTAGCCCTGTGTGATGGAATAATCCATGATTCAATGGATATTTGTTTATTTGTATTCCCACCTTTTTATAAAAAGTACATTAGATATGCTTATTTTGTTAATTTGAAAATTATCTCCATTTGTTGTTACTTTCTTTAGGAAACAAGAAATAATGTCAATATTTATATCAATAAAAGCAGTAAAGTTTATGGAGGAAACTTTATGTAAATATTATTTCTTAACTAGAAGAGATTCTCATATTAGTGTCTCAACAGGAAGCTGTTATACTTGGGGCAGAATGGAATTCTCTGAGGCCCAAGTTTCCCACTAACTCAAAAATAGCCTGTATTTCCTAGAAATTAGAGAACCCAGGATATCACATCACTAAAGAGATCTCTCCTCTGACAAGAAAGATAGGAGGCTGACTAGGAAAAACTACTTTATGCGTTTATGAATAAACCTGAAGGTTACCTAAATACAAATTATATCCTAGAGCTTGGAATCCTTTCTCAGATTAAGAGACATTTTTAAGACAAAAAGTCATGGCTATAAATGGTGGGGACAGGACGCATCAACAATAAAACCCAATTTTTATGCTTTTCTTTGATGACTGAGACCTAGAGTCACAGGGATTTTAAATATCCCAAACTCTCCTCACGATCATATTTTATACCAAAGTGGTTAAATAGCAAAGTACTTGGAGTTTTGTCTTTGCTCTGTCTATGGAAATCACTAAGACAGGACATGATTCTTGCTTACAGGGACCTTAGTGTCAAATCAAAGAAACTATCTAAATTTGAAATGAATTTGGTTCTTTCACAAGTGATTGATTATCGCCCAAAGAGAGAGACATAGAGACACGTAAATTCATGAAAAAATGCTCAGAAAGTAGCCCTATCAAAATAGCAAAT